GTTTGTTCATATCTTTGACAGAGCATTGCCTGTTATCAGTGTCTCCAGGAGGAAAACCAAATGCTTTCTTTTGGCTCGGCCACACACACACACACACACACACACACACACACACACACGGCGAAGACTGCTGAGCACACACGTACACCAGAAACTGACAAAATAATTACTAGCAATTCCAACTAATGCTGCCCAGAAACACTTGTGTTAAATACGTGTGACAGTGTTAGTGTGTCGTCAGCAGATCACACACACACACACACACACACACAATCACCCAACGGCTTCTCAGAGTCAGCCTTCATTATGAAAATACTACTTTTCTTATTAACAGCACAGGCATATGAGGATTAATATACATTGTGTGTGTGTGTGTGTGTGTGTGTGTGTGTGACGGTGATGGATCACTGCTGCTCGGTCCACTGTTTAGCCTCTGCACACAAGCTGACGCTCTCAACAACCTCTGACAAATGAAAACTCAGTCTCTCTCTCTCTCTCTCTCTCTCTCTCTCGTCTGTTCTTCATGTCAACATCTCCATCAGTATTGCACTGGTGTCGGTCTGACAGTGACTTCACTCCACTGGTCTCATGTGACGGACAGCTTATACATCAAACAACTGAAATGACTTGAAAATAGTGTGAGGAAATAGTTTAGAAGACGCTGCTAAAGTCAGCGAATAAAACACTGACACAATGATGAACAGGTAACAATAATATTCGCAATAACATCGTTTTACTGAATAATGAAGTAGACCCAATTTCTTCATTTATCTTCATACAGAACCTCAGTGTTTAACTGGCTCCTCTCTGCCGTCTCAGACGACATCACTTCCTGTCCGCCACTGTAACTTCTGTTGGGTGCGATTCACGACCTCACCACTAGATGCCGCTGAAAAGCACACACTGCACCTTTAAGAACAATGCTGTGTTTTTGCAGAAGAACGTCATCATCTCTCAGTGTAACGATTCCCACAGAATCAAACCCACGACCTTCATGTTGCCAGCGTGACGCTCTGCCACAGGACATCAACCTCTCCACGAGACCCTGTTGTGTTTGTAACACTGACATCACACACACACACACACACACTCACACATCTCTCTACGGGACCCTGTTATGTTTGTAACACTGACATCCAGCTCTGATTCCTCTATTTTATTACCCTGAGGAGTGATTACTTCCCTGGGTTGGAGAAGTATTGATTGAGATGCTGAAGAGACGAGCTACACACACACACACACACACACACACACACACGACTGGAAAGAAGAAACCGTGGATAATCATAGAGCTCTCCTGAGTGAAATGTCCGATGGAGCAGAAGAGGAAGGGTGAAGCCGTAACACACTGACAGCCGATATGAAGACTCAGAAACTCTCACCCCCCTTCAGGAAAGATGACCCACATCACCAGGTTGATACTTGTGTATTTATTTTTTTCCGTCTGACATTTGGGAAAATCACTTCAAATGGTAAATATGTGAACTTTTCCCCAGAAGATTGCAGCACGCTCCTGAGAAGAAGTGCTTTATGCAACATTCAAATGGACTTTAAATATCAGTGTGCAGTTATTGATGAAGCAGTCGGCATCATCATCATCATCATCATCATCATCACTGCTGTCAGACTGGACTGAGGATATGGTGTTTCTGTGAGACTTCATCATCCTCATTGTTGCCAGTAAATTATGAAAAATGTATTTCTGAATGTTCTCGAAATGTTGAAAACGTTTTAAAATGGTTTTGTTTTTTCCTGGTTATGAATGTTAAGGACACATTGTATCATTCATCTTCAAACATTATGGAACGTTACTTTTGAATGTTCTCGGAACGTTCCGATACAAGTAACATTTAAAAAGTGTCCAACTTATAATGTTTTAGAATTTCTTTCCATGAACAACGTGTAAATAATGTTTAACGTTTTGAGAAGATTATTAAAGAGAAGATAAGAGTGAATGAACGCTCTATTAACATGATTGGAAGAACGTTTGATCGTAACTTTGACTGAACGTTCCCTGAACTGTTGAAAAAAGCAAAAGAAGAAAAACATAAAAGTTATGAGTAACTGTGTGTGTGTGTGTGTGTGCAGCTGAAATGTATTATTAATTTCCTTCAAACTAGTCTCAGGTGTGTTTTGTTTGAGTAAATAAGCACTATATCTCTCTGTCAGATTACCCTATATATAAAGCACACACACACACACACACAGGCCTGTATAAACACATATAAAGGTCATCTATGACTCCTGATGTCATTTCCTCTGTGCCGAAGAGGTTCCAGACTGATTTGATTTCCACAGTCCGCATGTTTTGATGGACAGGTGATGGTGTCGTGTTACAGTGAGTTTCATACAGGTGAGCTGTTATTAAAAACACCAAACCTTTACTGTACTATAGCTTAAGGCAAAAGACAACTTTTTAATAGCCTAATGGAAGAATTATTTATTAATACTAACTTTCAATAAGTAGCATGCTGATCATAATTTCATTTATTGATTTATATTATGTTATGATTCAAAATACATTATTAAAACACAAATCAACCCTCAAAACATCTTTTTATGTCAGTAAACAGGGTAATTATGTATCGTCAAAGTCATGCACGCGACAACACTGTCAAAATAAACTTTTTTATTTTAGTTTTGTTGTCACTTTTTTTTTCAAAGGGGAAAAACAATCATGTTTCTCACCGACGACCTCTAACTCGGAAACTCGGAGCACAAACCTGGAGTTTCCCACTCGGAGATACGACACGTGTGGGCAGGGCTTGATTGTGTCTGTGGGGAGTTGATTGGATGGTTGTGGTTTGCTATTGGCTGATCTGGTGTGAGTGACAGGTTATAGCCCCGCCCTCGTCATCAGAGAAGAGATGCTGCTGTTATTCTGATTCAAGATTATTAACTCAATAATGATGTGCACCCATAAATCATTTGCAATAAACACCGCAATATTCCATAAAACAGCACGAATTGTCATTTGATTTCATGGAGACTTTAATGGCTTCAAAGTAAAACAGAAATAATTAAGAACAACGATATTAGTGAAAGCTTTTGAGTTCTTGAAGGCTTCTCTCCCAAAGGAGTGTGTGTGTGTGTGTGTGTGTGAAACCGTCTCAGTGTGAGTTGCCCTGAAGAAAGTCATTAGCGTGAATAAATGATGTTTAATATTTTGATGAACGAACTCTTGGAAGTGTGTAGACGACTTCAGTCTGGAGATCTCGGATTTAAAGCAGCGATTGATCTCGCTCACGGTTGTCATCTTGACTAATTGAGCTTTATGAGCTTGTCTTACAAGCTTGTTATGATTTATGTAGTGTATAAAGGTTGACGTGTGTGTGAGTGCGCCTCTATGATGGCCCATAAACCGCATTACCTGGAGGTCAAGAGGTCAGGTGATCGTCTTCATGATCGCTCAGGTCTGTGATCCTCAAATCACCTTTAAATGCCAATAATGCTCATAATATCGTTCTTTAAACCCCGAACTGTCGAGTCTCTTCAGCTCAGCAACCCTGCATTTATTTCATCAAAAATACAATAAAAACAGAAAAAATGTGAAAAATTATTCCAGTGTAAATCATCTGTTTTCTATGTGAATATATAGTGAAGTGTAATTTATTCCTGAATGTTTATCATCATTACTCCAGTCTTCAGTGTCACATGATCCTTCAGAAATCACTCTAATATGAGGATCAAGAAACATTTATGAATATTATCAGTGTTGAACACTGTTGTGCTGCTTCATATTTTTGAGGAAACCATCATATATTTAATTTTTCAGGATTTTTTGATAAATTAAAATTTTTTTGGTCCAAAAAAAAAATTCTGACTATTCAAAACATTAAATATGATCTCTTGATCTGTCTAATGATTTATAGTCTGAATGATCAGGCAGTGTGAGGATGGGGAAGTTGTCTTTTTCTCTGAACTAGTGTTGGTCAAGTTTAAGAAGAAGAGACGTTTCCAACATGTCCATTGTGTTCTGGCCAAAAGCCCACACGCTGAAATTTGATTTGCAAACATTTAAAGCAGTAAAATGGTGTTTGCTTCTATTGTATTTATGACCTGTGATGCTTTAAGGCACATAAAGAGTTTTAAGCACTTAAATCTGATTAATTATGCTTTTTAATTTTTTAACAATGCATTTATCACACTAAAGTGTCAGGCCGCAGGATTAGTTAGCCTATGTGTCTGATATATTTATGAATGTAAGCCGTCTTTAATTATCTGCATTTGATCCTTGGGACAATGTCAATAAATGATTATACTAATTGTTTTTCCTTAAAGTGTTGCATCTGGATGATCTGTGTGATTTGGAGATGATTTGCTGACGGGGAAGTGGATGTCTCTCAGGAGCCGAGGGTTAAACGGCTCGCCACACACTGTGCTTTGGTCCTGAAGGACACGGGTATTAAAAAGAAATATTACTTCATAAAAAGCCACAGCACAGTGTCCCTGGCTCTCGTAACTAATGTGTTTTTCAGTGAAAAGCCTGTTAGTTTCTGAAGAAGCAGCAAACGCTGTGTTTACTGCGAGATCAACAGCACTGCTCAAAGCTCCTCAAACCTCTGAAGCAGAAACGCTTTAGAAATCTTACATTATTGACAGGCTAATTCGGGTAGTTTTGTAAATGTATTGTGTTTAGTCACGGCTAAATGATCTTTCCAATCATGTGCTCATGTTAATTACTGATGAGGAGATCTTACAGGTGTGGAAGTGTTAATGTTTTATAGAATAATGTTTTATTCACCAACACTCTTTAAAAATGCTTTTATCATGTAAGGCCACATTTCTTCACTTCCATTGTAAGAGCCTTCGTAACCCAGATTTTAGCACATGCGATGACAATATATTTAGATAAAAAATCCTTTCTTGTGCCGTTCAGTAGCAGAGTACACCGATAGGTGGCAGTGAGTATTCTCAGGTAGAATATCCCAGTTCATCTCAGCAGCAGTCGCTCAGCTGTCACACACAGAGAAACACACACGCGCGCGCGCTCGCAGGAGAGAGTCTCGCGCAGAGAGAGTTTCAGCAGCGAACTGAAAGTGAACAGGGGGGCATTTCGCTCTCTCTCACACACACACACACAGCACTCGGACAGTGCTTGGATTTAACCTCTCCGGGAGCTTTGAGCGATGCGCTGGCAGAATGGCCCGATGGTTCAAGGAACACCTGGGATTCAAAACCACCAAAGCCCCGCCGCCCGCGCCTCCGAAGCCGGACTACCGACACTTCCACCCGGGCATCTCCAGCGCTGCTCCCGCGCTCCTGCTCCAGGGCTCCGCGCTCATGCCCGCTCAACCCGACATACTCACCGCATACAAACTCCAGAAGGAGCTGGACTTCGAGGACCCGTACACTCCGGCCGGGAACATGAACATGCCCTTTTCCTCCTCCACGGGACCGAGCTCCACGGGCTCGCCGGACGTGAAGTTCGTGTCTCCGAAGCACCGGCTCATCAAGGTGGAGACGGCCGAGCGGAGCGGCTCGAGCCCGGGCAGCTGCAGCGCGGTGACCGCGGTCAAATCCCCCGGTTCTCCACCCGCGGAGACCGAGAACAGTAAACCGGAGAAGGTAAGAGACCCATGCGCGCTCACCTCCTCCTCCACAGGTACGAGCAGAGCAGGTGAGCACACACGGACTGAGCATCACTTCTCATAGGCTATGTGGTTTTTTTTTGTATGTTTTTTTTTTTTTACTAAAAACTTTATATTAATAATTTATCTTTTTTATAAATGTAACTTGTTTTAGTTAAATTATCATAAAATAGTGTTTTGTTTTTAGATTTATCACTTTATTTTAAATATTTACTTTATATTAAAAATATTTTATTATGATTTTTAGTTTATTTTTTAAAATGTTTCTTAATTAATAGTAAAAACTTTTATATTAATAATTTACTTTTATAATTATTTGTATTCTATAAATGTAACTAGTTTTTGGTTGTTTTTTTATTAATTTGTATTTTTTAAATAATGTTAAATACATTTTTTAATTATCATAAGATAATGTTTTAGTTAAAACTTTGTTATATTAATAATTTTACACTTCTTTAAAAGTAAATAAAATTCAAAAACATTTCAATTTAGTGTATAAAAATATTTGTATTATATTAAAATCGTAATTTTAATATTACACTAAACAAAAATAAAATAGTTTAATATAATCAAAATAAAATTTCATCATACAAAATCTAGCCTATGAATAGCAATTACATCAAATGTCTAATTAAAAAAAATAAAACAACCTGAGTTATGAAGAATTTGGACCAAAGAGTTTAATATCTGCAGACATTTTTATTTGTGTGTGAAACGGGGTGAAACGGGGTGCAGATGAAGAGGACAAACCTGTGTAACTGATGAAACTGAAGGTTCTTCCATGACCAAAGCAAACAAACATTCCCTGCTAGTGTGGAGGATCTGCAGTGTACTCGTTCTGGCGGAGTGTGTGTGTGTGTGTGTGAGAGGCCGATCTCTGCATCATAACCGGTCTAACGAGTTGCTTCATGTGTTCCACAACGGTTGCGGGGTTCACACTGTTCATCCAGAAACACAACAGGTCTGAGATCAGATCCATCAGCATCTCTGAGATCTTGATCTTGATGTTTAGGGGAGAGTCCGTCAGCACTCAGTGTACACCAACACTAGATATCATATTGTTTTCCTTATATTTTGGGGTGGAAATCTAAACATCATCTCCAGAAGATATACTCACGCCATTCAGGATCTACAGTTCAACTTCCATTTAGTACTTTGCATAAAAGTTTTCATAAAGTTTGGTTTTAACACCCGTTTCAAACGCACAAAATGGTTTATGCTAAATATTTAGGAAGCTTGTACAATTTAGTTTTTCTTCATTTTTAAACATTTTACAAAGAAAATAAATTTTACAAAAGGACGAAGTTAAAAGAGAGGGTTTCAGCAATAACATTAATCAAAACAGAAAATGGAAGCTTGAAAAATTTAAAATGCATTAAAAAAGTAAAATTTTGATGATTATTCTGTCGCCTCAACAGGAAGTGACCTGTGACCCTTGACCGTAGAGTTTATTGACCGTTTTTTAATGTTTTGATAAACTTTTATAGTGGTTCCTTTAGTTGGCAGTGTGTGTGTTCTCACATCATCATCATCATCAGTTTATCAGCTCTAGTGTATAAATATGACCGAACTCAGGTCTCAGATCAGTGGATATTTGACTGGTTTAGTCCGTCCTTCTGTTGGACTCTCACACATGAATTATGTTGAATATCTGTTCAATTGAACTCCACAATTAGATAATACCAGTTTAGCTCAACCAGTGACCAAGCAATGCTTCATGTTGTTCAGTGTGTGTGTAAAAAGAGCAAAACATCATCAGCTCAAAGTGTGTGAGTAATCTTTGGCCCCAAATGTGTGTGTGTGTGTGAAGAGTTATTGGGTGTAATATGTGCGTTTGCTTTATTTAACTGTAGTGTCCTGATCACACTAGAGGAACACATCAATGGTGTCTGAATAATCTTTGGTTTGACTGTGACACGTGTTCAGACATTCACACACATGTGTGTGTGTGTGTGTGTGTGTGTATCTGCGCAACGTTTGAGTGTTTACGTGGACGAGAGCCAGATCCACAAGTGTGTGTCTCATTCACAACACTTCCTCTGCGCTTCATTCCTGACACACCTTCACCTGCAGGCGCGGCCTGTGCGTTACTGAGTGTGTGTGATGCAAGCCAACACTGCACGCTTCACACACACTGCAGTGTCATAACTCGAGCTGCCTTCAGCTCATTGTGTTCGGCATGTGTGTGATTGTGTGTGATTGTGTCGGTCAGCTCTTGTATCAAACGCTCTAGCGATTACTGAATTACTCAGAGCGATCTGTGCAACATCTGTGTGTGTGTGTGTGTGTTGGCTAGGTCTAGGGATTGGGTTAGTGTGTGTGTGTGTGTGTGTCTATGTGTGATGGGTAGGTTTAGGGGTCGGGTAAGGGTGTGTTTAAGTGATGGCTAGGTTTAGGAATAGGGATAGGGTTTGTGTGTGTGTGTGTGTGTGTGTGTGTTGAAGACAGTTGTGCTGCTTCATATTTCAGTGGAATCATTCATACATGACCATTTCAAAGTTTGGGGTCAATAAGATTTTAAAGAAATACTTTTATTGATGAAAGATGCATTAAATTCCTCATCTGCAGTTTACAGTATTTTACAGTATTTTAGTGTATTTTACTTTATTTTACAGTATGTTACTGTATTTTAGTGTATTTGACTGTATGTTACTGAATTTTACAGTATTTTACAGTATTTTAGTGTATTTTGTGTATTTTACAGTATTTTAGTGTATTTTACTGTATGTTACTATATTTTACAGTATTATACAGTATTTTTCTGTATCTTAGTGTACTTTACAGTATTTTACTTTATTTTACTGTATTTTAGTGTATGTTACTGTTTGTTACTGTATTTTACAGTATTTTACTGTATTCTAGTATATTTTACTGTATATTACTATATTTTGCAGTATTTTACAATATTTTTCTGTATTTTACTGTATTTTAGTGTATTTTACTTTATTTTACTGTATTTTAGTGTATTTTACCGTATGTTACTGTATGTTACTGTATTGTTGACCAGAGTAACGCCGCCGCCGCTGCGCTCAGCAGAAGAGACTCTCTCAGAAACACGTTTGATCCATGGTATCATCACAGATTGGTTAGCGTGTGTATTCTGCATCGTTATGCGGTGTGTATCGACCGGAGCGACCCGAACACAGCTCTTCTGCTCTGAAAACACCAACTAATGTCTTAATTACTTGACAAGTGGATGATAATTATGTAAATGCGTTGCTAATGCCCAGAATGCCAATATCTCGTGAAGTGTGTGTCGATCCGGATCTGGACAGGACTGAGGGGTCGGTGTGTGTGTTCATTAGAGTTACGGCTGCGGCTCCATTCTGATATTTCGTCAGGTTTAATATATAAGAAATGTTGAAATCTATATATTGTGACCACTAGTTTAAACGTTGGTATTTTATATAATATTAAATGCGTGTTGTCGTTGGTGTGTGATAAGTGGGCGCTGTGCTCGAGAACGCTGATTACATTGTCTCATGATTTCTTTGTTCTTATTGTGTTTTTGTTGTTGGTGATTAAACCTTCCCGTCTCAGAGCGTTCTGGAAGATCATCAATTACGCTTTCAAAGTGGTGCTAATTAACAACACACACACGCACACACACACAAGCATGCACACAGAGACGCATACACACACACACTCACAGAGACGCACACACATACATACACACACACGCACTAAGTTGCTGAAATTAATAATAATTTTCACCCTCCCAACACACAGACACACACACGCCCACACACACACGCCCACACACACACAAACATATATACACCTACTACCTACACATACATGCACACAGAAACACACACACACACGCCCACACACACACAAACATATATACCTACTACCTACACAAACAGACACACACACACACACACACACACACACAGAGAGAGAAACACAAACACACACACTAAGTTGCTGAAGGACTCCTGAAAGTGAATTACTGAATGCTAAACAGATATAATATAATAATGAGGCTGCGTGACCGTGTGTGTGTTCTCTGCGTGACCGTGTGTGTGTTCTCTGCGTGACCGTGTGTGTGTTCTCTGCGTGACCGTGTGTGTGTTCTCTGCGTGACCGTGTGTGTGTGTTTGCAGAGAGTCTGGGGTCATTATTCTCCACACTATCTTCAGGTGTATCTCCGGCCTCTGAACGCTGAACTGAACCCTGCCGGAATAACTGGGTTATTGATAACAAGATGATCAAATGAAATATTGATCATATAGACTAAAATATTGATCATATAGACTGCTTTCAAATCCAGCCCATAACATCATGAGTCAGACTCGCTGCTTTACTGTGTTTTGTCGTCGTCAGATGTGCGTTTCCTCCTCAGTTTCAGAGCAGAATGAGGATCTGTGTTGGTTCAGTGTCTCCTGATACACACTTTCACACACACATGTTCCTTAAAATGCCCAAATTAATTTATACCAGCATTACTTATATTGGTAGTAAACCAGTTAATAGCACCGATATATTCATATGCGTCTCATATTCAGAACACTTGGTTTTTAATGATCTTAAAAAGATTCTGATCTTAAGATTTATGCAAACATGCTCATAATTTGTTTTCTCGGTTCAAGTAAAAATTTTACCTCCATTTGTGGCATTTAACACTTTTGGAAACTTCTCTAAAAATACGTCTTGTTTTGGAGAAACTGTAGATTTTGTGCCTATAATGAAAGAGATGAACGCTTGATTGATTGTCGGAGTGTATTCTGCATGGTTCAGTTATGTGTAACTATGGTAACTGTGTGTGTGTGTGTGTGTGTAAGGGTTCCTTTAATTGAATAGTTGAACGCGGCGGTTGACCTCACTGACAGACGAAGGCATCACACACACACACACACACACACAGGCTTGCTGTTGTGCGTCTGATGAGCAAACACTCCCACACACACTCTATCTGACAGACATATTTAATTAAACATGACAGAGTTTCCTTTCGTCAACATTAAGAGAACT